TGTTCAAGTTGAAATGGGAGCCCTGTTAGAGAAGAAGGTGGGAGCTCAGCCCTCAGGGCACAAGGACTAACACCCTGCCTTTGTCTTTTTAGATAACAATTTGATGCTTCTTTGAAGGTTCATTTTATGGGTTAGGAGCTCAGTTTGAGAGCTGCACCCTCCTTCTTCTGCTCCCTTGCCTTCCTCTTCCCTGTCACTAGGGAGAGAGGGGAACAAGAGATGGGAACAAAAAGAAGGGGACCAAGAGGTGGAGAGCAAGAGTTGGGGCCAGCAGTGTGCCAGCCCCAGGGAGGGGAGATGGTGCCAAGTGTGTGCTGATGCCTGAGGAGAGCAGCCCTCTGCCAATGCCAGAGCCCAACACCGAGTGCTGAGCATCTCCCCTGAGACAGCACAGCTGGAAGAGCATCACTGGGCAGCCTTGCAATTACATGAATGTGAGGGGAAAAAAACCTGACAGAACTAGAAGATGCACAAGTAGCAGAGCAGGACGCTACTTGTTCGCTCTTCCACGGGCACCAGAAGGAGGTATGGAGGAGGAGGAGGGGTGGAATTACCACTTTCCTGAATCGGGTTGTTGCTCACCGATGGCTAAAGCACAGGGCTGTGTCTGCAGCAGCTTCAAAAGATGGATGCAAAATACCCCAGAACTAAAATTCCAAAGCCAGCGTCAAGCACGTCGTTTAATTTAGTTCGGAGTCGCCTCTGACTCCACATGGATGCCTCACCAGCTTATTTGCCAGCTCACTGGGAGCACTATGGGAACCTGAGCCTGCCCCCAGCAAAGCAGCCAAGGCTCTGGGGAGCAGCTCATGGGAAATGTCCCTTCCCATCTTTCTGTTCCTAATAAACACGTAGGAAGGAAGGATCAGTACACCCTGCTTGCTAAACGCAGTTTAAAAATGATTCACAGGGACTCATGAGCCTTAATTTTTGGCGAACAAACATTAAATCTTCTTTATAGAGAAAATGAAGGAACAGAAAGGTGGGAGGGAGTCAGTTTCCAGCAGCTCGCTCCGAAGTTAGCTTGTTTTATTTCCTTATTGTAACAGACGTAAAAAGGTCAAGGTTAATGAGGAAAACAGTGAACTCAAAGTTCCCTGGAAGAGCAACCCAGCGCTTTTAGCAATTCGCTTAAACGAGAGGAGAAAGCCAAGTCCTTGAACATTTTAAAGCTTTGGCAGCCTAATGAGCCGTGCGACCTCCCGGGGCTCCTGCCGAGCCCCGACTCCCTCCGGACTGCGGGGGGAACGGGACCCTCTGCTCCCTGCAGTGACACCTCAAACCCTCTGCACCTCCCAGCCCGACCATCCGCCCTGCAGAAGAGGAAATTCTGTTTTCAGACAAGAGGGAAAACCAAACAAGGCAGGGAAGAAGCGACCCTGCCACCTCTGCGAGACACGGGGCTGCTGCTGCTGCTCAGCCCCATCCTTCAGGGTTCCTCTCCCTGGTGGCTCAGCTGAAGTCACTGCCATTGAGGTTACTGGGAGCTCTGGGCCCAAATGGGCTTGACAAGTGGCAAAGCTGAGGTTGCTGCACAGAGATCTCATCGTGCCATGTGCAAACTGTGCTTTGGTTTGGGCTGGGAAATAATGCCGAGCAGGACAGGTGTGTGTTAGGAGAGAACAGATTTTGCCCTCTAGGTACCAGATCCAATTTATTTCATCATCACAGCATTTTTTTTTTTTATCTAGCAGCATTAAAAAAAACAAAGTGCAGTGGAGGAATGATGAGCAGTTTCATATTTGGAAGCTGAAAGGGGAAATTCCTGTGGCTGTAGGGGCTGGAGCAGCACCTCTCCTCCCCTCCAGCTTCACATTCTGGCTGCAGAAGTGTCATTTATTCTGCTATGTGGGCCAAGGTTTTCCTGCTGCCCGGCTGCCCCGGGGCTGATGCAGTGAAGGGACTGCAAGGAAAAGGACTTTCAGCCCTGCTGCTCCTCCTTGCTGCTTGTGGGGGGGTTCAAAGAGCATCATGTGGGAGAGCTGAGACTGAGCTGAGGGCTGGTGCCACGAAATGAAGGCATAAATTACAGCAGCCTTGGAGTTAGAGATGCCAGGTGTGGGTGCTGCAAGCCACAGGCTCCTGCAGGGACCTGACCAGGTTGCCCAAACTCAGAGAGAGACAAGGATGGAGCAGGGTGGGAATCTGGCCCCACAGCTCATCCTGTGATACAATTTACACCCCACCAAGCGACAGGGAAGCTCAATGTGCTTTAAAACATGAATGACTGAAAGCAAAGTTTATGGGAGGTGGCAGCTGTGCTGATCTCTGCCGTTTTTAGCAGGCAAATTTTCTAATACAAAGGGACCTTCGAGCTCTTCATGAATTAGGCATAAAGGGACCAGAGAGTGACAGGAGCAACAGGGATGGGCTCAGCACTGAAGGTGCCCTGGTAAAAACCTCCCCACCCTTCCTGAGACCAGATTTTGGAGCAGGCTGTATAGAGAACCCTTTCCAAACTATCCTCAGACCCTTGTGCCACTGCCTTGATTTGTCCCTTTCCACTGAGGGACGTTTCTCATCACAGAATAAATTCCCTCCCTTGCCCTCAGGGCTCACAAAGGAATGGCAAAAAGAACCCAAACCAGGAGTCTCTGCCTCTGCTTGGGGTCGGTCACATCCACAGGCAACCCCCCTCCCTGCCACGTCAACATTGATTTCTCTACCCTCAATATTAAGGCTGAATGGAGAAATTTTAATTCCTGATTTTTAAGGTTTGTTATGTTGGTTGGTTGGTTGTGTTTTAAGCCAGGGTTTAGTGTTGCAAGCTGCAGCCTCCCTGCAGCACTGCTGGAGAGGGGCACCAGGCACCTGGCTCTGCCCTGCCTCAGGGCACCCGGGAGGGACCAGGCAGGGGCAGAGGGATGGGGACAGGGGGGGACAGAGTGGGGACAGGAGGAGCCCTCTGCAGAGCTGTGACACTCTCAGACCCCCGGCCCCGCCAGGCGATGCGTTGCCAGGGCTGAAGTGTCAGGCTGAAATTTACCCTTTGCCTGAACTTCCTCATGTGTCTCAGTTTATGCAAGAATTTTACAATTATTTAAGATTCTTAAGAAATGCCTTTTTTTTTAAAGTTTCCTGTTTTTCCTTTTTTATTCTTCAAAGAAACAAACCCCTCCATGTCAGGCTGTGCAATATGGGTTATTTACCTCCAGGCTGGGCACAAACCTAACCCAGCCCTAGAGGTAAATGCATGTTTAGTCTTTAAGGCATCTTGTTTATCTGTGTAAATACTGATTTGGGTACAGACACCCCTCATAACACAGCTACATGGGTTAAGCAAAGATTTTGGTAGGCATCACATTTGTCATTGTTTGTCTAGAATGGCAGCTCTGAAAATGTGCAAATAAGCAGCTTTTACTGGTGATGGTTTTTAACACTCCTGTATCTTAAAAGCAGCAGAGTTTCTAAAAAAAATAAATTATATATATATATATTGAAAAGTTTAAAAAAAAGCTGTCTAGCTCTGAAGGATACATTTCCTGCCAAGTTGTAAACCCTTGAGAAACTGCATTTGTGCAAGAGGTTGTGAGACATCCTTTAATTCAGTATTAGTAAAATACCAGGAGCAGCATCTGTGTGATCAGAGCAGGGCTGCCCCTGTGTGTGGCACTGGGGCCAGGGCAGACCTGAGTTATGGCACAGGGAGGAGCTTGGGTGTTACAGACTCTGGAGGCTCCAGGGGGGACAACAGTCTGGATATAAATATTCAGTTGTACTGCTTGGAGCTAAGCCATTTATTTGTCACGTTTGAAAGGTGGGAATAAATATAATAATATTTGCCCGACAGATATGAACAGTATGGGTTAATCCTTTGCAGAAGCACAGAACATACCTTCCAGCAGCTGCCTACAGCAAACACACCCACAGATTAAAGGGCAGTGGATTTTGTAAGATGCTGTGCTCAATTTGCAGCAGTCTGCACCGCCCCTTTTGGAAGCATGTCCCAGTTAAGTCCCAATCTGTACAATTCCCAGTTTACCACATGGAACAGATTCACCAAGAACCACGTTTCTTTATTTGATCAACACCACCTACAGCTCCAATCCTACAAAAATTAAGGTCATTTGGCTCTGTCCTATGCCTGTTGAACTGATGGGTGCATGAAGCTACGTGCAGCTGCGTCTCTGGGGGGCAGGGGGCTGATCTGAGCTGCAACCCCCTTGGGCACTGTGGACCATCCTGTCCCACCAAGCCCTGCACACACACACACACACACACACACCCACACACACACCCCCACACCCTCCACACTCAACACCCAGGCCTGACCAAGGGCAAGCACCTACTTCAGCTAAGAAACACCATTGGCACCTGGAAGGGTCTGGGGGCTTTGTTTTGTTTCTTTTTGGAATCTACAATTCAGGTTGAAAGGTTGGACAGGATGATCCTTGAGGTGCCTTCCAACCCGTCCTAGGATCCTATGGATAATTATGTCCCCCAGATTTAAGTGAAAGTTCAGAGATAGACTGAATTTCTTGCCTGTGTTTTCCTGTGGCTCTGCCTGATAGGAAAGCCAACAGTCAATACTTATTTTTTTCCCCCTGTAGTTAATAAAGCTGCTGTTTGTTCTATTCTGTTGCTGGAAATACCAGGTTCCAGATATCAGGAACCACTGCAATGAAATGTATCATCGAAATACAGAAATGGATCCAGTCACAGTATAGAAACAGCTCTCCATTTTATTTGAGACGAGGCAGCTGAGCTGGGCCACGTGTATCCTGTGTTCAGAAACCTGCACTGGCTCAATGCTTTCTGCAGCACCACTGTTTCTAGCCAATGGACTCGAAAATATAGCACTTTAAAGCTGCAATACAAGAGAGATCAGAATATTGGGACTGTGAGTAGTATCGTTTGAGTTGGGTTGATACTGTTTTCTTAAAGAATGAATTTTGTCATGTTATTCAAGGTTTTAAAAAAATGCCACGTTTCTGGAAATAGTGACTGCTGAGCACAGGGCTGTAAATGATCAGGTAGAAATTGTAGGATCTGCCACTGACCAGACGCAGAGTGACCCAGGAGATGTTGTTGTCATGGTTTGGAGTCAAGATAGTTCTGTTTACACCCTTTACCAGTAGCTACACCAGATTCACTGCACGTCCTGTCTACACGTTAGGATGGGAGAGTGCCTGTTGAGCCCAGGAGAGCTCAGAACCTGCCTTTCCAAATCCTGAGGTGTCCATGGCTGACCTGGAAAGCCCTGAGGACACGCAGTGCTGCTCTGGTGCTGCCACAAACCCTGGGCTGCACTGTAAGAATGGTCTCACCTACTGCAGCTCATGTCCAAGCCACGGGGATGGGAACATCCATGATGGGCTTATTATTCTTGTCACCAGGAGCTGTTTTGTAGGGAAGTCAAGATCTACTTGGGTCCCCAGGGTATCTGGCACTCAAGGGCTGTTGGCCACAGCCGTGCCCAAGCAATTTACACAGAAGGTGTTTGTAAATCAGTGGTAAACTGTGAGCAATATTTTGCCTTAATGCTGCTCTGAGCTCTTTCAAATAAGAAAGTTTACAGTGTCCTGTGCTGCTGAGACACCTGAGCCTCCACTGAGTGAAATGGGAGCTGTCCTGGTGGACTGCAGGAGAAGGGAATGGTGGCTGGGGACTGGCTGTGGTGGCAAGAGGGTTGGACAGTGTTAGTGCAGCAGGAGTGATGTCCTGTCTGTGAAGAGGTTCTAGCACGGACAGCAACACGCACCTCAGGGCAGGCAGCGGGGCCACCTCGCCTCAACAGAGAGATGTATTTTATATATATATGTATATATATATAAAATTCTGCTTGATATCTCATGTATTTTCAGGTATCTAATATTTAAAAGCATCCTTTATCATTGCTAAGTTAGCCAAACCAGTACAAAATTAAGTGCAAGAAAAATACCGATTCACATAGTTTTTGCCAGGAATACAAAAGGGACTGTTGAGCTTCTCACATTTACAGCCATTTAGGAATTTGGATTTAGGATGACTAAGGAAAACATTCCTACATTCAAAAGATGTCTCAAAATAATTTGTGTTCTGTTTTGCAATGGGAAAACTAGTTCAGACAGAGATCAGCTACTGGTTAGTGGTGGTAGATGGAAAACCCAAACAGGAGTTGGTGCTTTCCTTGACTGATTGCCTACAAACATTAAGTCTGAAGCAGTTTGATGACCCCCTGGAGATGAGAGAGGAGGTTTTTCCTTTTAGCCAGTAGCAGCTTTATCCTCAACTAGAGATTTCTTATGCTCAAAAGGATGCGTTAGCATTTCCCAAAACACATTCCAGATTGGTTGGAGGGGAAGAGGAAAGTCGTGGTTTATGAAGGCACACCCATGCTGACTTTGCAGGAGAAAGGAAAGGAAAGGGAAAGCAGGACTGCACAATGCAGTTATAATACAAGGCTCATTCTTGAAACCTGAATATCATGCTAGAAGAAAATCTAGATATGTGTAATATTCTGAAGAAATATTTTGAAGGCAATAGTATTTGATTTTTTTTTTTTTATATATATATCAAAAAAGAAAAAATGTTTCTGTGTAAATGTGGATAGAATGCTCTTGAAGAAGGGAACTGAATATTTGTATTGCAGCCTTAAAGGACCACATTTTTACTGCAATATGTCTTTTTTTTCTGTAAACTCCAGCCTGCGGCTCCACAGGCCACGACTGAATGCTTCTGAAAACTTGTAGATTACAAACATGGAATCACAATTAATATCCTCTAAAAGTAATTTCAGAGCTTTCACGTCTTAAAAAAGGACAATGTGTACTGCTTCACAAGGTAATGCAGCTAATCAAAAAAAAAGAAGGAGTAGAATTAAAGTATTTACATAATGAGCAATTCTACAGAAGGCGACCATCCCCGTGTCAGCACTGCTGATTATATCCCACGCTGCTTTTAACAAACTCTACCAGATTGGATCCAGTCATCAGCACTTTCAGAGAATCCTTAAAAGCCTTTTATGGGTCTTTACACTTAGTGCAGAATGATGTTCTTCAGGTAGAATATGCTGGTGAGGGAGGACAGTGTCAACACAAGGTACCAGCAGGAGAACAGGACTTCGGCGTCACCGGTGATCCCGTACTGGGCTGTACTGGGAGCTGCAAAGAGAAGAAAAAGGGGTTCAGTGAAAATTTCCACGTTCCTGCATCCTTTGTTTTCATCAGTTCTCCTAAGATAATGACTAGGGCAGCAGAAATGTTCTCTTGAAAAGCAGAGGAAATGCTGCCAGGGTAGCCCAGCCCTCCTGGGGCAGCGCTCAGCGGGCACTGGCTGCTGTTGTAAGGAGAAGTTGTCCCTGCAGCAAGCACCTCAGCCTGGCAGCTCTAGACATCAGAGGAGCACTTCATGCTTCAACATCTGAATAATTCATCTGGTTTTAAGTTACTGAGCATTAAGATCTCCACTGAAATCAATGAGAAGTGAATATATTTAGACCTGTTAGAAAACAACTCATTTGCTGCCCGACTTCAGAAGCCAAAGTTTGACAATTTTGCTTGGACAAGGAAGTTGATATTTATTTTCAGTCTCTTTGAAGAAACTGCATTTGCTTGCTTTAATACAAAGCCTGTCTCAAATCACTAAGTAACTATTACAGGAAGGGTATGCAAAAGAAGAGTTAAAATGTAAGAAATCAGTGTGGAGAAACAAGCGTGGAGACAACAATTTGCAGCAGTTCTGAGCATCCACTGGTTCTCCTGCAGCCCAGGAACTGACCTGGGCAGAGAATGATGATTTTGGTCTGGAAAAGCCCTGGGCTGGAGGAAGGAATGATCTGTCACCTCAGCCTGCACTGAGCCAAAGCCCCAGGGGATGCCATGGGGATGTGCAGCTGCTCAATAAACACTGAGCAGGCCTTGCTAATGTCAGTGGCACTTGATTGAGACACAAGTTGCCAAATGTGCATAGTTTGACTAGGCTGACCCAGTGTCTGCCAGAAACATGGATGGAGAAAGGCTGGTGGATGCTGAGCAAGACTGAGCCAGCTTGGTGCCCACCTCCTGGTGCTGCTTTTCCCTGCAGAAGACAGAGGTGTAGGAGGGGCACAGAAATTTCCAAGCTCATTCCCAGGGACTGATTTTGAGTGAGCTGGGGATGCTCAACCCAAAGGCTTGGCTGCAAAAGGGAGAAACCACTGATGTGTTGGCTTTGAAAAACAAGTGAGCCATGTATGAAGAGAGAGAAGAGGTGGTGGGGGGGTTGGATCCCACAGGGAGGATCCTGTCTCCTCTGCAGGATCTCTCCTTTTGCCCCCTTACATTGCTGTCCTGAGGTGTTCCCCAGGGCACTGGGCTACCTGGACCAAGAACATGGAGAGGTGATCTGAAGAGGAGACCTTGGCCAACAGCTCTACTCTGCAGTTACATGGGAGGGGGCTACACAGCACAAGTACCAATGGTGCAGGAGACAGTTTTCCTGGGGCCAAGTCCCACCTCCTTGCCCAGCAGTGAGCCAGCTCTGACAGCACGGCTGCCCTCACCCAGAGCCCAGGCCACCCCTGGCAGTGAGACACAGGTGCATGCAGAGCTTCTGAGTAAGGGCTCACCAGATCCCACCTGCTTCTCCTTTGGCCAGAGGAGGAGAAAAAAAGCAGCCCTGATGGCAGGCACAGCTGTGCTGCCAAGGGCCTGGGGAGATGCATGGTGAGGCAGGATGGAGCCCAGCAGGACCTGGCTGGGAAGGGGGTACCAGGAGGGGGGTTGATTTTCTAGGATGCAGATCTCCAGTCTTGAATTTCAAGTCTTGAATTTCAAGTCTGGTTCAGTCTAAACACTGAAAGGTAAATATTGCTTTGCTGTCTATACAGAAATCTGAGCTATCGGGTGCATTTGCAACACAGGCCATTTCAACAGGGTATAGGATAAAATAAAAACTAATTCATTTCCCCTCTTTCCCCCCCTGCAGAAAGGTTAAGGTAATAAAAAAAGTAAATAAATTACAAGATGAAGCTTGATTTTGAAGCTTAGTTTGGTGACTTATAACCATGACTAACTGCAGGGCAGGGCGCTCTCTTCTCATTAAAAAGGAACTTTCTGTGATAAGTCAGTATGACAAATCAACATTTAATTTGTTACAAACCCAGGCTCACCAGCTGAAGCACAGCATAGGTGGTATTTCATTTTATCTTATTAAAAGAGTTTCCCCAACGTAAAGATAATTTGAACTATGGTGGCTATAAATGTGAGTGGAAAATTATGTAAATCTGATTTCCTGTGCACGAACCAGTACTATCTTTCTAAAGCTTATTAAATCATATCTGGGTTGTTTCAGCACAAAGGCACTAGGTGAATTAATGGGGGGAAATACATAGACTTGGGTAGATAATAGGAAGAGTTATGGTTCCCAAAGCTGGCTAGCCAGAAGAATTTGATGTGAAAGGAACCTGAAGGAGAAGCAAATCTGCTTTGAGGGACTGGACTCTGCTGGGTTTGAATAAAGTGCCCTGAGGGCTGAGCTCATGTGGTACAGGGATGTCTCAGGGGGAGCAGGGGCTGGTTTTGCCCATCCACAGGCAATGTATTAGCCCCATTCAGCCCCCTCCCTCCCACACCTCCCCCCACTGAGGAGCCAGGGTGTCGATGCTATGGCTGAGCCTGAAAAACAAGATTGCAGTTCAAAAGAATCATTTAATAATGTCTCTGAGCTCCTTTAAACCTGTCTTTGGCCTTACACTAAAGAATGAAACCCAGCTGTGCTGTGAGGCTTCCACGGTCACTGCCACTGAGGCTCTGAATGAGCTGGAGCAGAAATGTAGAATTATTCTCCAGCCCCTCTAATACCTGTTCCCTTTCCTCAGATTCCTTTCAAGAGGATGAACTGGTGTGATCCTGCTGGCACTGGCTCTGCTGTGTGGTCCCTGCTGGCTTCATCCCCCTTGCTGAGACCCTGCAGTGATGCTGCCTACAGAAACCCAACGTACACCTGGAGCTGCTCACATCCATGTGCCCCAAGGGTCCCTCCAACAGAGACATGGCTGTCCTTGTGGAAATGTCCCCAAACCCACGGCGTGACAACCAGCAAACTGACCAGATACTGGCTTTAAAGTGCACTTTGGAACTGTGTGCTGCAGGTGTAAAAAGCTGAGCTACTTCAATTCAAACTGGAACCAGTAGCTGGGAAATACTTGCTGTGTGCAGCACAGGACTGGCAGGCACATTGGGGTGAGCTGCTTCAAGCCTTCCATAGAATCATAGGGGTTGGAAGGGACCTCGAAAGATCATCTAGTCCTTCAGCTGTTGGTGGAAAAAGCCTGATTGCTCTTCAGCTTGCTCTAGGAGTCTCCTTTCATAATTAGCAGCCCAGTTTGAGCACCCTTTGGGCAGCTGGGCCAGTGCTGCCTGTGCGTTCAGCTGGGGAACACCAGGTACCATGGATGGTGACTTACTGACTGGGAGAGTCCTGCTGGATCACGATGGAACTTGACTTTAATTGGACTTCTGGAAATCTCCAAGTGTTTCTAGCCTCTAAAGTGAATTTATAAGCAGATGTCCCTCTCCTGCTGCTAGTGGCAAATGGGTTGCATCAATGCCAACATCACGGTAAGGTGGCTGCGTGGCAGGCATTTCAAAATGTCATGCTTGGCTCTTAAAAATTCACAAGCTTCTGCAGTCCTTCTCTTTTTCATGTCCATATTCAAATTGATTTTCCTGTGGCTACCTGCTTGCTTTGCTGGCAAAAGAAAACTTTCTTCCCAAATATTAAAATTCTGTAGCTAGTTGGTGGTTTTACGAACTTCAAAAAGTCAACAAACTTTTAAAATTTAAAGAGTCTTAGTACGGGCTGCTTAGTCATTAATCTTGAATGAAGAGTTATTTTTTTATAGTCCTTGCTTTCATTCTCATTGCTGTGTAATGCTAGACAAGGTAATTCTATTATTGTTGATTTTTGTAGGATTTTTTTGAATACTTGCAATGTCAGACTACAAACCTTAGTTTAGGAATGAATGAGAAGGTTTAAATGTTTGAAAATAGCATCAAAGTCACAGTTGCTTTTCCCCCTACCAAGTCCTTAGCATTGCATATTGGTTTAGACAGACATACACACTTGCAGGCTTAATATTTGTAGAGTGAGATAATGGTGGAGGTTTGTCTGATTAGGTATTAATGAAAAGCATGAATTACCTGACTCCCTGATTACATCTGGAGCTATCCTGGGCATTTCCATAATCCCCATGGTACCCACCCTAATGGAGCAGTCTGTTCAGAACTCATTTTACAGTGTGTGAAGGTTTTGGTACAGAGAGGGGGGATGGAGAACAGGGGCTGGCCCACTGACAGGTATTTATCTGGCTAAAGGTTCCTGTCCAGAACAATGTCTTGGTAACTGTCTGAGATGGGGACCAAGGTCAAATTGTTTGGCTCCTCTTGTGCTGATCTGGTGGTGCAAATTCAGTGCAGAGCTGTGGTAGTGGTACCTTAAACAGCAGTGAATTTCCATCTAGAAGAAGATTATAACGAGCTTGATAAAAAGTCTGATGATTGAAACATAAAGGAAGATGCAGTGATGTTAAAATAGATCAGCTTCAGTCACTAAGGGATAATAATTTACTTTCTTGCTAATGGGGAAGTGAAGCCCCATGCCTGGGAGCAGTGTTCCTAGTGCTGATGGCCCCAGCAGCCGTTTGGGTGGTAACATGTTGAACTCCAGGCACTGGTCCCCACCCATGGCTGAGCAGAGGAAATGGGGTAAAACTTGTGGGCAGAGCCTCCTGGTCTGTGGTGCCTGGGCTGGAGGGGCAGGGGTGTCGAGCTGAGCTGTGCATGGCAGCTCACAGCAGAGCTGCAAAGGCTTGGTGGGTCCCTGCATGTGCCCTCACCAAGAAGACAGTTCTTCCCCCACAGAGCCTGGTGGGAAGTCCCATGGTTCTTGGGATTTGTAGCCATCATGTGCCTGGCCAGAGCAGCCCTCAGTATGGATATACAGCAGTAGGGCTGGATTGAAATGGATTTTGTGTGCTCATTTGCTGGAGCAGGTCTGCTCTGGAGACAGGCTGAGAGGGTTAGGGTGTTCAGCCTGGAGAAGAGAAGGCTCCAGAGAGACCTTAGAGCAGCTTCCAGTGCCTGAAGGGGCTCCAGGAAAGCTGGGGAGGGGCTTGGGACAA